GTCTGGTCGTGGGGCCTGAACTCTGGGCCTGGGGGCTATCCCTCAGCTCTTCAGCTCAAGGCTAGTGCTCTACCACTTGAGCCACAGAGCCACTTCCGGCTTTTTTTTTTTCTGCTTATGTGGTGCTGAGGAATCAACCCAGGGCCTCATGCATGCAAGGCAAGTGCTCTACCACTGAGCCACCCATGGATGTGTCAAATATCTGTGAGCATGAAATACCTGAGTGGTCAAATACTTACTGATCATGCATAAGGCCCTGGGTTCATCTCCAGCAATGCAATGCAAAGAGAGGGAAAACGTGTACTTCCCTACCTAGGAAATCTACTGGGGTAAGCTTGCTTATTTGCTTTCTCTTTTTTTTTTCCATGGTTATGGGGGGCGGGGGGAATTGTTTTAGTGCTTGAACTCAGAGCCTGAATATCATCCTTTATCTATTTGGCTAAGAATAGTGCTCTACCACTTGAGCCATAACTCCAGTTCTTAAGGGGTGAGAGACTTTTCTGCTTGGACTTGCTTTGAACAGTGAATCTCAGATCTCTGTCTTGAGTAGCAAGGGTTATAGGTATGAATGACTAGCACCCATCTGGGAGTAACTTCTCAAGAAAGAATTAGAATAGATACAAACATTTATACAGCAAGATGAGAACTATAACCTTGTACTGACAAGCAACAAAAATCATCTAAGTAGACCCCTCCCCCTCAAGCGGGAATGTTTAAATATTTTTACCAAATATGTTACCTCAAAAGCAGCTTTAAAAAAAAACTGCCTAAAATGAAACCATTCATTTTGGCAGAGATTTTGTGTGTATATGTCTGTCTCTCAGTCCGTACTAGGGATGGGTTTCAGGGATTTGCTTATGCTTGTTTGACAGGTGCTCTACCATTTGAGCCACACATTCCATCCACAAAACAATTTTCTAAAAGATATGAAGATGCTAGGTATCAGACATAGTTCTATACAAGAGCAGTTGTTTTGTTCTGTGGTGATTTTCTGTTTTTCAAATGATTTTTTTCTTGGTGCTGTTTCTCAAGTTATCTTCATGATTCTTCCTTTAGATTAAACTTCAAGAATCTCCTGAAGACATGCCTGCCGGTCAGACACCTCACACAGTTATACTCTTCGCTCACAATGATCTTGTGGACAAGGTTCAGCCTGGAGACAGAGTGAATGTCACAGGTAAGTGAATGTCACATCTTGGGTTTTTGTTTATTTTTAACATCTGAGACTGGAATTCGAACTTGGTACCTGATGTTTTACTTATTGACTAGTGCTCTATCAACCAAGCCACACCTTCCCCTCATATCTTGGTTTTAATGCCTCTTTCAGTTCAGTCATTAGTTAATTGGACTGGAACTGGTTATGTTTGCCATCATAATTGCAGGTATTTGAGGGTTTTTTGTTTTTTTTTGTTGGTTGTGGGTCTTGTTCTCTGGGCCTGGACACTGTCGCTCAGCTCTTCAGCTCAAGGCCAGCACTCTACCACTTGAGCCGCAGCGCCACTTCCGGCTTTTTTCTTTTTGCTTATGTGGTGCTGAGGAATCGAACCCGGGGCCTCATGCATGCAAGGCAAGCACTCTACCACTGAGCCACCTTACCAACCCTCTGGTGGTTAATTGGAGACAAGAGTCTTATGGACATTCCTACCTGGCTTTGAATCACCATCCTCAGATCTCAGCCTCCTGAGTAGCTAGGATTACAGGCATTAGCCACCTGTGTCTGGCTCTCAGCATCTTCTTACACTAGGAAACCTTTCTGTTCTTCCCAGACTTGGATTTTTTTGTTGTTGTTGTTGTTGTTTTTCTTTCCTCCATTGTGGAGCTTGAACTGCAGGGATAGCCTGGGTGTTATCCCTGAGCTTTTTTTGTTCAAGGCTAGAGCTCTGCCACTTTGAACCACAGCTTTACTTGCAGTTTTCTCACCAGAAAATTGGAGATAAGAGTCTCACAGACTTTTCTGCTTGGGCTGGCTTTGAACCACAATCCTCAGATCTCAATCTCCTGAGTAGCTAGAAATGCAAGTGTGAGCCACCAGTGCCTGGCTCCAGACTTGGATTTTTATGGTCTTTGTGGTCACTTCTTGCCCCTTGCTATGTAGGTCTCAAATTGGTGCTTTTGGACTGTGAGAAAGTAGCTTCAGATCAGGTTGGTATTGGTAGGATTTGATCTGTGCCAGCAGATCAACTCTAGAGTTGATCATCTCCACTTATTTCTCAAATGTACATCTTAAATCATAATAGTGACTCATAGAGAAAGGTAGGGCAGAGCACCTTGCTTCCAGGCTGGGAGGCTGAGACAGACATATAGGTAGCTACAGCTCAACACTGTGGTACATCACAAATCCAGAATCTAGATCCTGTCTCTTCTGCCAAAGATACCCTTTCCATGGCAGCATATGAGTATGTCAGACGTCTGTACTTTGGAGACATGTGGTCACTTGATCACTCAAGAGGGTCTCTTGGGGAATCTTTCTGCATTGGGGCCAGGAAGACTGGAGCCCATACATCCATCTGCTTGTCGGTCAAGCTTTTTGCTTTTTTCCTTCCCCCACCTCCCCGCCAGTACTAGAAATTGAACTCAGGGCCCTGCACTTGCTAAAAGCATTCTACAGCTATGACTGAGCCACTTAAACTGCCATAAATAAAATCAACTTTCTGTGTATGTGAAGTATAATCTCTTATAAGATTATTACATATTAGCTGGTTTTTATGTTTAAAATGAGTATTGCATTGACAGATTAAGTAAATAAATAACAGTGGCTTATGCCATCTATATGAAAGATCAAACTTTACTCTCAAAAAACAGCAGGAACAAAATCGCTCCGAAGCTAAAGCTTTCTGGTTTGAAATTCAAAGATAAGCATCAGACATATGTTCTGTTTTGTGTTTTGTTTTGTTTCAGTGCTGAGAGCCTTTGCACATGCTAAACAAACATTCTGCCACCCAGTTGCATGTGTGGTCTGTCCTGAGCTAGAAACACTTATTATAAAGTAAAAATAGTCATTTTTCTTTCACCTTTGCCCAGTAAGCTATTCTTGTTATCCATGACATAATTTTTAAAGTATTTAAACTTTTGTGGTTTATTTTCTTTCCAGTTTTTTAGTATACAGTTTAAAATTTTTTCTCCAGTCACATACTAAGATTTATATTCAGCCTAGGGAACTCATGGTACTATTTATTGAACACGATGATGAACTCAACCTTTTTTTGGGGGGGGGTCCGGTCATGGGGCCTGAACTCTGGGCCTGAGCGTTGTCCCTCAGCTCAAGGCTAGTGCTCTACCACTTGAGCCAAAGCGCCACTTCCGGCTTTTTCTTTTTGCTTATGTGGTACTGAGGAATCGAACCCAGGGCCTCAGGCATGCAAGGCAAGCGCTCTACCACTGAGCCACCTTCCCAGCCCTGAACTCAACCTTTTGATGAGCAGTCTTTCATTTCACCTCAGATGTGTACATGCTGTGCAATTATACTCAGATGGCTGCCCACTGTCAGAGCTAACAAGAGACAGAGACAAATATAATTTTAGGTTTCTTGTTTTCAGAGACCTAAATTCTTTCCAGCTTGGACTTGTACTGCTGCTATCTTCCCAGTTTGTCAAAACAGGAGTGGGAGTTTGCAGTATGGGACTGAGTGTTCAATCCAGGAGGTTCACCGAGCCAAAATGTACCAAAGAGATAAGAGATTGAGTGCTTATCTTGGTACTGCCAGTTATTTGTGCTGGCCATTGAGTCCTGACAAGAAAGAAGTTCAAAGCCAGGCGCCAGTGGCTCACGCCTGTAATCCTAGCTACTCAGAAGGCTGAGATCTGAGGATCGAGGTTCAAAGCCAGCCCGGGCAGGAAAGTTTTATCTCTAATAAACCGCTAGAAAACTGGAAGTGGTGCTGTGGCTTAAGCAGTAGAGCGCTCACCTTGAGCTGAAGAGCACAAGGACAGCGCCCAAGCCCAGAGTTCACGCCCCACAACCGACAAAAAAAAAAGAAAGAAGTTCAAGGAAAGTAAAAGTGTTATCTAGTGGTCACTGAGCTCTGAAAAGGAGAAATACAGAGGTTAAAAGTATGCTTTGTGGATGTGTCCTCAGGCATCTACCGAGCAGTGCCTATTCGAGTCAATCCAAGAGTGAGCAACGTGAAGTCTGTCTACAAAACCCACATTGATGTAATTCATTATCGGAAGACGGATGCAAAACGCCTGCATGGCCTTGATGAAGAAGCAGAACAGAAACTTTTTTCAGAAAAACGTGTGGAATTGCTTAAGGAACTTTCCAGGAAACCAGACATATATGAAAGACTAGCTTCAGCCTTGGCTCCCAGTATTTACGAACATGAAGATATAAAGAAGGTAATGGTGTATATGTTAACCTATGATCATATAATTTAACTATCAGTTCCTCCTAAATAGCTGTTTCCTGTTTAACAGAGCAAAGTGCTCAACCCCCTCTTTGTTGTTGGTTGGGAATTATAGATTTGTTACCTATGTACTCAATCTTGTACTGAAGCCACTCATGTTCCTAAATGTTGTTAGAGGCCACCCAGAGATCTGAACAGCAATTTATGTTCTGGCAGAGTGTATGGAATTCTCACATGCTTTTCTTTTTTGTGCCTCTCCTGGGTCATGAACTCAGGATCTAGGCACTGTCCTTGAGTTGTTTTGCTCAGGGCTAGTGCTCTACCACTTGAGCTACAGCAGCCTTTTTTTTTTTTTTGGAGGGGGAGGTGCTTAATTGGAGATAAGGGTCTCATAGACTTTCCTGGCCAGGCTGTCTTCAAACCATGATTCTCAGATCTCAGCCTCTTGAGTAGATGAAGTGAGCAACCTATGTCCAACTCACATGCTTTTTTGTGAAGAGTGTTTAGATTCAGAGTAGAAAAATATCCCTAAATTTTAAGTGAAATGTACTACTCAGAAGTAAGTGTTTTGCTGTGGACTTTTTTGTTGTTTTAGGGAATCTTACTTCAGCTCTTTGGTGGAACAAGAAAAGACTTTAGTCACACAGGAAGGGGTAAATTTCGTGCCGAGATCAACATCCTTCTGTGTGGTGACCCTGGTACCAGCAAGTCCCAGCTGCTGCAGTATGTGTACAATCTGGTCCCCAGGGGTCAGTACACATCTGGAAAGGGCTCCAGTGCAGTTGGCCTCACAGCCTATGTGATGAAGGACCCTGAGACCAGGCAACTAGTCCTGCAGACAGGTGCCCTTGTCTTGAGTGACAATGGTATCTGCTGTATTGATGAGTTTGACAAGATGAATGAGAGTACAAGATCAGTGTTGCACGAAGTCATGGAGCAGCAGACTCTCTCCATTGCAAAGGTGAGTCTCAGTCCTGGCTGCTTGACATGGATCCATTGGATATAAAGCATATGCAGAGCTGTACAGCCTTGCCACATCTTTTTTTGCTCTGTTACACACTGATGTGTAATACACTTAGAGCGTGAATTTGAACTGATAGAACTTATGCTGCAATTCACATGAGAGTGTGCCTTCTGAGAAGGACAGGACAACAGCGCATCTTCATCTAAGCTCAGTCCTAGTTTTAAATCACAGAATAGGGCATGTCCATGTGCAACTGAGGAAGTAAGTAAAGGTTATAAGGCTCTTAAATAGCAGAACAAATAAAATTTAGCTGGAGACAAGAAAAAGATGAGATGGATCTCATCCCTACTGGCCTTAGGGAGAAGCTTCTAACTGCTATTGTCTTTCATAGGCTGGGATCATCTGTCAGCTCAATGCACGCACTTCTGTACTGGCAGCAGCAAACCCCATTGAATCTCAGTGGAATCCTAAAAAAACAACGATTGAAAACATCCAGCTACCTCACACATTATTGTCAAGGTATTAAAAGTTTTTATTTATTTATTTTTGTCGGTTATGGGGCCTGAGCTCTGGGCCTGGGTGCTGTCCCTCAGCTCTTCAGCTCAAGGCTAGCACTCTACCACTTGAGCCACAGCACCACTTCCGGCTTTTTGCTTATGTGGTGTTGAGGAATCGAACCCAGGGCCTCATGCATGCAAGACAAGCGCTCTACCACTGAGCCACCTTCCCAGCCCTATTAAAAGTTTTATAAAGATAGATGTTTCTGTTGCCTCATTTACAGAATTTTCAGTGAAAGATTGCAAGAAATACTAAGGTTAAGCTAGCAATTCATTTTAATGCGAAGTGTTTCAGATTTGGTTAATGTGTGCTTTTCACAGCAAGGATTGTATTCTGTCTATAAGTAGCTAGCATCACAACATTGATTTTCTGAAGCCATTGGAGCATTTCCTTTCAACATCTTTTCAGGTAACATCATTTTTCCTTAGTTTGAAAGCTACTATTGATAGTCAACAGAGAACAGCTTTGCTATCATACCACTTATTTCAGGCCCACTACTCCTCATATTAATGTATTTCATAAATGGATTTTAGAATTTAAGTACTTTGTGTGTATGTGTGTGCTGGTGTGTATGCGCGTGCGTGTGTGTGTGTGTGTGTGTGTGTGCATGTGCGTGTGCTGGTCCTGGGGCTTGAACTTATGCGTGTGCGTGCGTGCGTGCGTGTGTGTGTGTGTGCATGCATGTGCGTGTGCGTGTGCTGGTCCTGGGGCTTGAACTTAGGGCTTGGGCTCTGTCCCTAAGTTTTGTATTCAGTGCTGGCACTCTACTACCACTTCAGCCACAGCCCCATTTCCAGCCTTTTTGGTAGCTAATTGGAGATAAGCTATGAAGTCCAGCTGGACTGGCTTTGAATCTTGATCCTCAGATGTCAATCTCCTGAGTAACTGGGATTACAGTCGTTATTCGCCAGCACCTAGCATTAACAGTTCTTTTTTTTTTAACTAAATAATTTTGTTTTATTGTTTATACTGCTAGGGATCAAACACAGAGCCTTGCACATACTAGGCAAGTGCTCTTTTACTGAACTATACCCCCAATCATCTACCATCTCTTGACAGTTGTATATATTGTCATTCAAATCTTCCAGTCTTCAAAGAAACATTTCCTAGAAGGTAGTCTTTTACTCGTTCTTACCTAGACAGACCAGAGGATAAGGGCTCAAGGTCCTTTGTCAGGGGTAGAGAACTGTTGTCCTTCAGAAGGCCCTTACTGGGTATAGGCTCACTGCAATCTGATGGCCCAAGGACTTTTAAGATCTGTTTGTGGATATGTTGGTGTCCCAACTGAGAAGACAATCTTTTCTTCGTATTTTCTCAGGTTTGATCTGATTTTCCTAATGCTAGACCCTCAGGATGAGGCATATGACAGGCGTCTGGCTCATCACCTGGTCTCACTGTACTACCAGAGCGAAGAGCAGATGGAGGAAGAGTTCTTGGACATGGCAGTGTTGAAGGACTACATTGCATATGCTCATAGTACCATCATGCCCCGTCTGAGTGAGGAGGCTAGCCAGGCCCTCATTGAGGTAACAAAGCCTGAGAAAAAAGGTTTTAGTGAGCCTGCTGTCCAAAGCATTGGTACAGCTAATTCATCATCCCATTTAAGCTACTAATATAAGACTAATATGCCATTTTCTTTTAACTACTTGTTTTCTTCAGCTACAAATTGATTTTTCCAAAGGTAAAAAGGCAAAGATTCATTTATGTTAAATGGTACACTTTTATATTTAAGTACTTGCAAGCGCAGTGATTCAAGCTCAAATATAGGTGATATGACTTCCTAATTTCTTTTTCTTTTTTCTTTTTTTTTTTTTCCCAGAGCTGAGGACCGAACTCAGGGCCTCGCGCTTGCCAGGCAGGCGCTCTTCTGCTGAGCTAAACCCCAGCCCCTGACTTCCTAATTTCTAACTGGGAAAGTTATCCAGTCACTCTAACATTCACTTGTTTGAAAACAAAAATGTATAGTATTTTATATTCATACACCTTTGTGCATGGACAGGCATGCACAACAGCATGTGGAGATTATTCAAGTGTTGTGATAAGAAGCTTCTGGTATTTAGAAAGTGTTTATGTCTTCACTAAGCTCCAAACATAAAGTGTATAAAGTGTGTTAATATTTCATTTGGACCCTGAAAAAAAAGTTTAGTTCAGTTTCACTTGTAACATCATTACAATCTCTTTACATGCCTTAACAAATGGATTTTTACCCAAAGTATATATACTAGATTCAGTGTGTAAACTGTTTTCATATAAGTCCCTCTAATTCATCTTTTCTTTACAACCTGCTCCTAATTCCACATGCTATGTCACCTTCCTCTGCTACAGTGTTCCATTCTATTCTAGGAATCATACTCGGAACCTTGAGTATACTAGGCAAGCATTCCACCATTGGAGCAACATTAGTTGCCCTCTGTTCTCTGTTCTTCATAAGTATAAAAGACTTTTCCAAGTCTTCCCAAAAGTCTCTGACCAGTGATGTACAATGTTATTGAAAACATCCAGGATTTACATGTCTGTCTACTTATCTATCTGTCCACCACTTGATAAGGCCCAGGCCCAGATCTAATTTTTTATTGCCCTCTGTAATTTCACAAGGCAGCCAGACAGAACTTTGGTTTATTTGCAGAGCACTAGTTGTTCAACCATGGCACTATAGTTCTTGTCAACAAGCAGTTTTCCTTTTGTTTTTTTCTACCTGCACTAGGCTTATGTAGACATGAGGAAGATTGGTAGTAGCCGCGGAATGGTTTCTGCATATCCTAGACAGCTGGAGTCATTAATTCGATTAGCAGAAGCCCATGCTAAAGTAAGATTTTCAAGCAAAGTTGAAGCAGTTGATGTGGAAGAGGCAAAACGTCTCCACCGGGAGGCTCTGAAGCAGTCTGCAACTGACCCCCGGACTGGCATTGTGGACATATCTATTCTTACTACAGGTTTGTTTGTCTGAACAAAACGTCTTTTGAAAATTGTACCAGGCACAGGTAGCTCATACCTTTAATCCTAGCCACTCAAGGTGCTGAGATCTAAGAGTTACAATTCAAAAACAGCCTAGACAGGGAAATCCATGAGACTCTTAGGTCCAGTTAATTACCAAAAAAAGCTTGAAGTGGAGCACTGCTCAAGTGGTAGAACTCTAGCTCAAGGATAGTGCCCAGGCTGATTTCAAGTCCCAGGACACAAAAAAATCTTACATGCTTTTGAATAAATTTCGGCACAGCCCCCTTATCTTTCTTGGCAGTGTTTATGGGAATTTGAAGGAACATTTGTGGAAATTTGAAACATCACTTCTTAATGGTTGAAACATTTTATTGATTTCTTTTTAATATCAGGAATGAGTGCTACGTCTCGTAAACGGAAAGAAGAATTAGCTGAAGCATTGAGAAAACTTATTTTATCTAAGGGCAAAACACCAGCTCTGAAATACCAGCAGCTTTTTGAAGATATTCGGGGACAATCTGACATAGTAAGTGTTTATGTGGGATTTTTTTGTTTAGTAATATTTTTTCTTTTTCCTTAACATTGTTGAGTTTGTTTGGGGAGGGAGTTGCCTTTATTTTCTCAAATAATATGAGTAAAAAGTTCAGATCAAAATTCATTAATATACCTTTTCAGATACTTGCATAACCTTTTGCAAATAATTACATGGGGCAAATGCAGCCTTTCTTGTTTCATGGGGGGGAGGGGAGGATGGCAGTATTCTATTTTTATAACATTTATTGTTCCTCGCTGCATTGACACCTTGAGAGCAAAGTTGAGTTGTAGTGTTAAGAGAAGAGGCCATACTGATTAAAAAAATGTGCAGTTTTCACATGGAGACTGGGGTGGTACTTTGTGACTGTACTAGTTAGGGGGAATTGATCTCTGAAGTACTTATTTTTCTTCTCTTCCCAAAGGCAATTACCAAAGATATGTTTGAAGAAGCCCTGCGTGCCTTGGCTGATGATGACTTCTTGACAGTGACTGGAAAAACTGTTCGCTTGCTGTGAAGCTGTTGGGAGCCATACTGCTTACATGCTGCTTGCTGCACCTGTTCACGTACAAGCGCAGGCTACAGGCCAGACAGTTGCTGCTGCCACTGCCAATAAATTCTGAAAGGCATTATTCAACTACATAAGTTTCCTAACCTGGATTCAATTTTTTTAGTAATTCTATAATGTTGGGGGCGGGGGGGGACTTCAGTATGTTTCTTAACGTGTTTCAATATTTTAATAAGTCGATCTATAAATATATACAGTATAGGTTATTTTCTTGATGTGCCTTTTTTTAGCACAGTAAGTGGAAGTGGCAAGCAGATTGTAGTTCTTGCACCAGAACTGTTTGTGGCAGTTATCAGTATACCTGAGGGTTTTCTTCTGGTTGTAGATTTGTTTTTGAAATGCTGTGGATAGAACTCAAGGCCTCACAAATTCTAGGAAGGTAATGCCCCTGAAGGATTCTCTGAAGGATTTAACAAAGGTGGTCAGGGCACATGGGTCTGTGTGAGGTAGTGAAAGGCTAGCACATTTCTTCCTTTTACAGTATTTGAGTAATTGCCTTTAAAGGCTTTTTTTTAATCCCCCATGGCTTCTTTTAGATGATAAATATGGTTCAAATCACTAGATTCTAAGTTTCCCTACTCTATCCTAATTTGTAAGACTTTTCTTTAAATAAAACATAGAAATAACACTTTGTTATTTGGTACTTTGTGATTAAGATAAAAGCTTTTCATTGTGGAACCTTCATAATGGTAAGTACATTGTCTATGATAAATATACAGTGGTTTTCATTTTGTTCATATCTTTGTGTGTATGTGTGCGTGTGCACGCGTGTGTGCACACGCACCAGTTTTGGGCTTGAACTCTGGGCCTGGGAGCTATTGCTCAAGGCTGATGCTCTTCTACTTGAGCCACAGCTCCACTTTCAGCTTTTTTTTCCAGTGATTAATTGGAGATGAAGAGTCTCACAGACTTTCATACCCTGGCTGGCTTTGAATCCCAAACCTCACATCTCAGCTTCCTTAGTAGCTAAAAATAAGGCAGGAGTCAGTAACACCCAACGTTTTCTTTTTATTTTTTTATGGGTTTTGAACTCTGCCTGGACAGAGTCTCTGGGCTCTCGCTAAAGGCTAGCACTCTACCACTTTGAGTCACAGTACTACTTCCACTTTTCTGGTGGTTACAGACTGGCTTTGAACAGTGATCCTCAGAATCTCAATCTCTTTAGTAGCTAGGATTATAGGCATGAGCTACCAGTACTTAGCTATATACAATACACTTTCTGGATATGGTTGTTGGTTTTGTTTTGTTTTTGTTGGGGGTCTTTTCTTTTTTGGTAGTGATTATTGCAGTCTGGACATTGCATTTGCTAGGCAAGCACTTTTCCACTGAGCTACATCCCAACCCCTTTCTTAAAATTCCTAGCTAGGCTCCAGTGGCTCACACCTGTAGTCCTAGCTACTCAGGAGGCTGAGATCTAAGGATCACAGTTCAAAACCAGCCCGGGCACAAAAGTCTATGAGACTCTCCAATAGAGAGTCTGGAAGTGGTGCTGTGGCTCAAGTGTTAGAGTACTCGCCTTGAGCTGAAGAGCTCAGGGACAGCGCCCAAGCCCAGAGTTCAAGCCCCATCACCAACCGCCCCATCACCAACCAAAAAAATTCCTAGCACCAAGGCTCTCATTGGTTTGCCTTGCTGTATTGACCCACTAATTTTATAAAACTTGAGCTGCCTCTAGTCCAGAATTTTGCTGGACAGAAATCCCATGAACTTCTAGCCAGGCTGGAGTTAGGCTTCAGTCCTCTAGGCCTCAACTTCCTGATTGGGATTGCAGACATGAGCAACTGTCTCCCACCTAGTACTTGATTTGAACTCAAGACTTGTGCTTGCTTGCTATTCAGATACATGCTCTATCACTTGAGCAATGGGCACAGCCCTTGAATTTTAAATTATACATGTAAACACTACTATTAGTAAGCTCAAACATTTAGCTCACTGTATGATTTAGCTTTTTTTCCTTTATAACTCAGAATCTATTCATCTCCTGTTTACTATAAAGGGCATGGGAATTAAAGACTTCCTAGCTTCCTTTTTGTGTTGTGTGCTGGCACTGTGTGGCCTGAACTGACTAGGCACTGTCCCTTACCTTTTTCACTCAAAGCTGATATCCTACGCACTTGAGCTGTACCTTCATTTCACTTATTTTGTTAATTGGAAATAAGAGTCAGATTTGCCTACCTGGCCTGCATTCTATCATTAAGTCTCAGCTTCCTGAATAACTAGGATTACAAGAGTGAACCACCAGTGCCCAGATCCCTGAGGAATTTAAACTCAGCCTGGGCACTGTCCCTGAGCTTTTTCATTCAAAGCACGGGCTCTACCACTTTAGTCTACAGCTCTACTTGCAGTTTTCTGGTAATTAATTGGAGAGGAGAGTCTCAGGGACTGCCCAGACTGGCTTTGAACCTTGATCCTTAAACCTCAGCTTCCTGAATAGCTAGGATTACAGTTGTGAGCTACTGGCACCTGGCTCTAAATTCTTAAAGTAGCTTTAGAATGCATGTTTTGAAGGAGGTCATAGAAAGGTTGGTGTGTCACTAAGTGGCATGGACACCTGTCCCCTAGGAACTTGCATACTTGTTACTAAGCTTCTAAATATAAAATGCCTCTATGTACCAACCTAACAGCCACCTTGTAGAATCATTCTCACAGTTTGGGGCATGAGAAATCCCATGATTCACTTGAAATCCCAAGCAGATGATGCTCGCTCTTCTGACTGGTATTGTTTTGGCATGTTAAATCTCTACCTGGGGCTTTTAATTTAGCCTAGTACTTTTGGACACTTTAAACATCCAAAATCCTGCAGACAAGTTTCTCTGTGCCTGTGGTTTGATTGGTGATCTGAAATTGCTCCATTGGGCAGAGAACTATGAATCTGTCGGCCAGTCTCACAACCACGGTGTTCTGAGACTAAAATATAATTCAGTTGAAGCTTTACAGTTTAAAGATAATCTTGTTTTTATTTTTTATTATTATTATTTTTTTTTTTTTTGGCCTGGTCATGGCATCTGAACTCTGGGCCTGGGCGCTGTCCCTCAGCTCTTCAGCTCAAGGTTAGTGCTCTACCACTTGAGCCACAGTGCCACCTCTAGCTTTTTTCTTTTTGCTTATGTGGTGCTGAGGAATCGAACCCAGGGCCTCAGGCATGCAAGGCAAGCACTCTACCACTGAGCCATCTTCCCAGCACCAGATAATCTTGTTTTTAAAAGGCCACCTTTGCCCTTGCCGCTCACAAAATGAACAGCACATATCACAGGAGTTACTACATAATCTTTTATGGGAAAAGCAGCACCTGGAGTAGATTTGAAAACATGTTCCTATAGAAATACCTCTACATCTACATATTTCCTCTAAGCCGTATGCTGAATAAAGTCACCAAGAGTGAATCTTCTCAATGAAAAAGCATTGTCACTGCTAGGTGGTTGTTAGTTATTACAGAGTTCAGGACTTTCTGCCTGACAAATTACAGGGATGATGGAGCAAAAATAAATATACCAGTTTCTTATCCATTAAACCCTCAGCCTGCAGTAGTGCCTAGAGATTAGAAGCTTATCTTCATATATTTAAAATCAAATTATGTACACACATATTCCTGAGACTTGCCTGGGATATAGTGTATGCTCAATAAATACTACAATGGTTTCTCCTTTAAGTTTATATAGTAGTAATATTTTTTTAAGACGTAATTCAATGCAAATAGGGATGTATATAGCTACAGTCTCATTCTGTTGATGGGGGGCGGGGAGGGGAGAGGAGGGGTGTCTTAGTCCTATTTATTACTGGCAGGGCCCATCATAATCTTAGTTTATTTAACTCAATGACCTTTCTGTTAATATCTGTAACTTGCCCATTGTTCCACAGGTTTCTTGAGAGCAGAGATGGTCGTGTCCCTGAAGTATAGAGTCTGGCACTGGATGCTTGAACTCTGGGCCTGGGCACTGTCTCTGAGCTCTCAAGGCGAGCACTCTACCACTTGAGCCACAGTGCCACTTCCAGTTAATTGGAGATAAGAGTCTCACTGACTTTTCTCCCCAGGCTGGCTTTGAAACGTGATCTTTGGATCTCAACCTCCTGAGTAGCAAGGATTACAGGAGTAAGCCACCAGCTTTGGGTGATACTTATTACATTCTTTTTTTTCCTTTGTTTTTTTTCTTTTTTGGTATTTTATTTTTTTAATTAAAAAGGTGATGAGCTGAGGGGTTAGTTACATAGGTAAGACAATAAGTACATTTGTTTTTAATCATTATTACCCCATCCCTCTTTATCTCCCACTTACCCCTCTCTATCCGCCCCCCACCCAAGTTATAATGTTCTTATCCTACATAGTGTCAAGTGAGTATCAATGTTGCTGTGGCTCATCTGTTGTTCTGCTGTTTCTGTGATTCCTTTCCCTTTCACATATTGCATTGTCTATTGTGCAAAACACGAGGTACAAAAAGCTAAGAGAAATGAAGAAAATAATAGAGAAAAAGAACAAACTATATACAGGGTCTAATGAGAGTGTATTGTTTCCATAAGTTGGAGTTCATAGAGCGAACTTGCTCCTAGGGAGGGAAGGTGAAGTTATAAGAAGATATTCTTGCCAGATACCACTGGCTTATCCCTGGAACTCTAGCTACTCAGGAGGCTAAGACCTGAGGATCATGGGTCAAAGCCACTCAGGCAGGAAAGTCCCTAAGAACAAAAAATGTTCAGGGACAGTGCCCAGGCCCTGAGTTCAAGCCCCACAACTGACCAAAAAAATGGGGGGGGGCGTTCATGGAATCATGTGACATCTCAAGAACTGGGATAAGGTGATGAATTTGAACTGAATCCCTGAAGTCTGATGGCAGCTTCCACAGAGGCAATCCCTCATGGGCTAATGAAGCATGCCTAGCCCTCAAGGAGTGCTGCTGTGGACTGAAAAGCATCTTCCCATATGCATGCATCACATGGTTGATGGGAACAGAACCCCTGGTTCAGATTCTACTGCCTGTACACTGCATAGGGCAGTGACTGTACTCCCAAAGTGCACAATCAGTATTAGCTGTTGTTACCATGAATGGGAATAAGAGAAGATGAATGGAGAGAGTGGGGTGGATGAACGCAGTCATATTCAATATACATATGTGAAAATGGAAACAGGTAACTTGAGGGGATGGGTGGAGTTGAG